AAATAGCTAGCTAAGTTTTTGTGGCTCTTCTCAAAGCCCACCCAGCTCTGAGTTCAGGGGGAACTGAATTTGCTTCCCAGGAATTACCTCCCCTCCTCTCAATCATCCCCTCAGTATTTGTCTGCAGAAAGCTGATGAAGTGCTGGGTGAATTCACACCAGCCCTGCTCCGCCACCCGCCGACTCAGTGAACACCTCGCTGTCTTCTGTGGGGACAGCTCAGGTGTTTGAAATGACGTGAAAGTCACGTCTTTGCCTCATCTTCACAGAGGGCCCCTCTCATCTCCCAGATGATGGCAGCCGAGCAAAATGTTGTGCAAAAGCTTTTTTTTTTCCTTTTGGAAAACTGTCTCTGCAGAAACGCTCAGGCCCRGGTGGGCTGTGTGAGCGGTGGGTCCCCCCGGGCCTAGCATTTCTGAGGAACCCCGTAGGGAGCCGCRGTAGCCGAGCGGTGGGTGCTGGGGGGCTGTGGGGACCCACCGCTCCCTCYTTGCCTCCTCGGGACATTTTGGAGGTGACTTTGCCCGGCTAGATGGCGCTGGCACCCCAGGAAAGCTGGGCCGGCTGGAGGGGCCGCCGGCCCTGGCTCCCCGAGCCTCCACAGCGGCATCGCTGCCGGATCACAGGGACAGCAGCAGCCCCAGCGCCTCTCCGGCYCCCCTCCCCAAAGGGAGCCCGTGAATCACGTACAGGTTTCAATAGATTGTGTCACACGTTTGAAGTTAGAGGGATTTGATAGAAACCCACCACGCAGTAATTATGAGTGTAAAATGCATTGCGGGGGGAAGCATTCTGCAGCCTTGCCAAGACTACCAGCCTACAAATAAAGGGCCGTTCCTGCCCTGGTGGCGAGCTGTGCCCTCAAGAGTTCGCACAAGCACTGGAAACAATGTGGTCCCCACAGCTCTGTGCTTGCTGTTGGGAAAGAAGGGGTCTGAGGCCTTTCCTTCCTTAGGTCTCTCTGCAAATACATCCCTGGCATCAGGCAGCTTGCAGTCAGACAGAGATGCTGGGCTCGAATGTGAAATAATGTGGGGTTTTTAAGCAGCAAGTTGGCTGCTCAGATTAATTGGTGGCTTATTTTGCTGGCTAGAGCTGCTGCTTGGGAGCAAGGACCACGCAAGCGGTCCTGCTGTCTGCATCACTGAGCAGGGCTGCGAGCGGCGGCTCCCTCCGTGCTACTCGCACCAAGAGGCAAGAGAGTGGGAAGGGAAGAGAGGGGAAGGCAGGGAGAGAAGACCACCGAGGAGAAGGATCGAAAATGCAAAGAAGCTCGGGGGAAAGAGGGGGAAGGCCGCACTACCACAAATGTCTCCATCAAAGGAAAACCTTGCTTGAGATCTTTGCGATCTGCAAGAGATGCTCTAGGATGCTCTGTGTGGAGTGGTCTTCAATCAGGGTGTGTTGCTTTGACAGTAAGTTGGTGGATATGGTGCTGTGAGGCTTGACCGGTGAATTGCATGGTGTTCACAGGAACTTTCAAAGGGTTCTGCAAAAAGAAAGCAAGAAAAACAAAATATTGTAGCCCTGTTTCCCTGCAATAGATTTTTAGGGATCTGCAATCAGAACAAGGTAGAAAACCACAAAATATTCCACAGGGAGGAAAAATTGAGGACTGGGAATGAGCACTTTTATGTGCTCCTGTTTCCTGGCAGAGTTCTTATTCCCTCAAGTTTTGCCAAGTAACAGCTCCTTGTTTATTGGTTCTTCTCCTGAGTGCTTGATGGGCTATGAAGCTTCTCCAGGCTCACCAGGATAATTTTACAACTACTCGGAGCTCAGGATCCATTTTAGGGATGTTCTTCCAGGGAACAGAAGTAGTGTGAGGACAAGGAGCAAAGTGAAGCCTTGTTTTTGCCTTATTTATAAAGTGTGCCTTATTTCTGAGGTTCAGCTGTAGCTGAATAGCACACAGGGGTGAACACCCATGAGATGCTCTTGCTCTTATGGCTGTGTATGAGGCCCCTGGCTATTTTAAACAGGACTGTATGAGCACATGCATAGCTACACTTCTTGCAAAATGAACGTGTCTTTGAATAGAAAATGACCCGCTTATTGCAGTATTGTTCAATGGTCAGGTTCTGCCTGATTAATATCTTGTTTCCCAGTATAGGAAACTGTCTTCCTTCCCAGTAGGAAATGAAGGATTTTAAGGAGGACTCCAAATCTTCCCTGCCATGGCTCTCTTTTTTTGCTGTTGCCAGAGGAGGGAAGTCCAAAAAAGGAAATGGAAGGAAAAAGGAAAGGAAAGAAAAGGGAATCTGATGGAATGAGTGTAGTGCAGGAACTGAGACTGTTTTTTCTGGCTGACACACTTAGTGTTGCTGGTGTGTTTGCCGCTTCCTTGAGAGGCCAGTGGTGGGGAGAAAAAAAAAAAAAAGAGATTAAGGTCATCAAGATAATGCAAAGAATATTCAAACTGGAAGCAGAGGGGAAATATAGAAGGTCTGTTTTTCCAATAGTAAGTAATCAGAGTACAGGAGGATGTAATTTGCAGATTAGGAAAATGAACAAAGACTATAAAATTAACTTTATGAGAGAGAAGAGAACAGTCCATTTGGAGGGGGGAATAAACCAACCTCCATAAAGCTYTATGGCTGATACAATCAGCATATTGATTTAGACGAAATAGGAAATATCAGTGAATGATCAACAATGAGGCAGCCTTCAAGCCCTGGTTTGCTGTAATCYGGATGGGATGCGACACATGATCCAAGGCAGGGATCAGGGGCAGGGAACTAGTTCCCACTGCCCATGCCATTGGGATGGGAGCTCCACAGGAATTCGAATACTGGCCCAACCTGCTGCTGATGGGTGTCAGTCACCCACTCTTCCAACGATGACTTTTCTYACTAGACTTTCACGGAGCAGACAGAGCTCAGCCCAGTACATGTTGTTACTGCACATTGAAATTGTTGCCTCTCACACACGTACCAGCCTAGAAGCAGCTCCGCGGGTGGATCAGAAGGCAAAGCTCTTAGTTAGTAGAGGAAGCTGCAAGTTAGTTGCAGAACAGGTTGCTCTAACACGGGCCCTACTATCACAGGGTGACAGCTCCTTCATAAGCTACTCAAGATATCTCCAAGGAGAAGATTTCACTTCACTCTCCAGCAGAGCTCCTCTTGAGTCAGTGCATGCTGAGCTTCCAGCTTAGCCCAAAGGAATGATACACACTTAAAACTGGGGCAGAAAGAGATTCTTCTTCCACAATCCTGTATGTTACACTAGTTTGCATTCCCTCTGTCATCCTTCTTGTTTCTCCTTTTCTTTTTTAATGGTGAAAAAATGACTTGCAGTTTGTGGCTTCTGCTGTTCACATTCTTCACTTCTGTAAATAACATTTTGGGGAGCCTGCAAGCCCACGGCAAGTTTCATCGAGCTCCAATGCAAGTCCTCCGAGGAGCTGCAACTCCCAATCCGTGTTCTCCAAAGGACAACTCCCTGATGTCGCTTTGTAGAGGAGGAGAATGAATGCAAAAGCAAATAAGCAAATGTATCCAGGAAAGGCAATTTTTGGGGCCGGTTCTTTTCTCATGAAGGTAGAGGTAAATAGGAATAACTACAGAGAGAATAATGAGGTTGCCAGGCCCTGATATCTTGTAAGCCCAGGAGTAAGCCACATAGGCAGCTTGAAGAGAAGGAAAAACACATCTGCTCAGGAAGGGAATTCTCCTCATTTGTGTGACACAGATCCCGAAACAAGATGTGCCAATTTAAACMATTTTTGCTCTTCTTTGTTAATCAAGTGCCTGCATATGAGACACTGGGGTCCTGCCAGTTCCTGATACTGGGGTCCTCCTTAGAAACCAAAGGCAAAATTTTTGAGATTTGGGTAAAGTGGAGTGACCTTGATAAAATCCAAATGGTTGCTCAAGCAATATCTGACAAAAGTAAAAATATCTTGAAGATTCAAAAAGTTCTCTTAGAAAAAGCAGAAATATTAGGTTACTATCAACATTTTTCTTTTCCATTTGCTTTATATTCTATTATCATTGGAGTATTTTTCTCAGGTATTAAAAGCACAAGGTATTGGAAGTTTTGTTTGAACTTCTGTTGTCTGGGGAGTTTGGCTTTGGTTTCTGCAAAATGCCTTTGTTCAACTTTATTTGTTAGACTAATTGAAATGCAGCAGAAATCTTTCCCTAGCAATTTTTCTCATAAGAAAACAAATTTTAATGTCAAATAAATATTCAGCAAGCTCTGTTAAATCCTATCAAATTATCAGGAAAAAAAAAGTATGAAAAATAATGTGTCTTTGAAAACACACAACCTTCCTACTTTGCGTAAAGCTTTCAACACTAGTGAAACTATTTTTAGGATTAAGAATGCAATTGTGTCCTTTTCATATATCAGCAAAAAAATCAGAGTACCTTTTATGCTGCAGATTTTGAAGCTTTGTTAGCWGGGTTTCATAAAACAACTGTGCTTGTCACATGGATGTACATCCCTCCCTTAATGGCTCGACCTGTCCCTTGCGAATAGCAGCGGGAAGCAGTTTGATATGTTTGTCAAAAAGCTCTCCTTTGTGAGCTAAAATAAAATGAGTTCTCGGATATGCCACAAGTTAAAACTTTTACGCTGGCTCAACTTGGGATCTGATGTCTTTTCCTGATACTTGTGTTTAGATGGAATCAGAAGCCAAAGATCTTAAAGGCAAGGATAGGATTTAAAACTAGATTTTTGCGTTTTGACTGTTTTTAGAAGTGTGTGTATGAGCATGCACACCGGCATCATTGTGTTTATCGTGCCATGCTGTAGTTCTCAGTGGTTCCACAGCTTCGAAGTCTCTGGATACCACGTGGGCTTTGGTGCTTTCCACCTTCCGAGCTGGCCACCTAAGGGCTGTTTTTCCTCTTCTGCARGTGAGGACCTGAGAGGCTCATGGCAAGCAGGGAGGCCGTGGTGGTGYGGGGCTCTCAGCACCCGTCTTCTGTGACACCAGCAGCAGAACTTTGAGTCCAGAGACCGCAGCTGTTGGGCTGGCTGGTTTTGAGGCACCAGGGGGATTTAAGACAAGAGCCAGCAGAGCTCCAGGTTTGYCTGCGGACCTCTCAAAGTGAGTAGTAGCGTTAGGTGACCCCAAAACCCTTCCTGGGGATGATCCTGCCGCTATGCAGTTATTAATGCTGCCGTGCCTTGGGCCGGCGCTGCTGGAGAGACCGCGTTCCCAGGACAGCCCTGACTGCACAGGGTCTTTGGGGCTCCACGGCATACAACCGCTGTTAGGTTTTCAAGTCTTTCCCAGGCTATTATTTCCACTTCAAACGTAACACATCCGAATTGTTTGTGTGGAAATGTACACAAACCCAGGCCTTCCACCCTGCTGAGATTTTTGCCTCATCTGACAGCACAACGATGCTTGCCTGCCTTAAACGAATGCCTTAACAAACTCCTCTTTCCTGCTTGATTTAGCCCCTGCTTGCACTGCATTAGTGCTTTGGCTTGACTGGCTTAGGCGCTCCCTTGCAYGATCCCTGTTCCCACTGAGGGACCTTCCAGGCAGATGAACAGGGTGGGTTTGTGCCAGGCCTCCCTGTGAGCATTGCCCCCATGGCTCCTACTTGCACACGGATGTTGCACCCATGATGGGGCAGGACCTGCTGGGGCTGAGCCAGAATGACCTATTGCCGTGACCAATGGTTTATAATGATTTATATTATTTTTGCTTTRTTTCGGCACCTTTGTGGTGCTGAGTCTGTGGAGAAGCAGATGCTGCTTTACTCCTCTTGCTGCTTTGGAGGGTGCAGGCTGCATGTGGGGCCAGAGGAGCTGCTGCTGCCTGCCTCCACAAATGTCACATTCATGCTGCTGGGACGCTGCTGGGAGCCTATTTTTCTCTATGATAAAGCCTACATCTGTCAGGGTTCACCTTCTTGTCACCATGCTCACCACAAAGACACAGAGGGAAAACGTGTTGGATGCAGGGACAAGGACTGCCCTGTGGTCTGTGTCAGGGATGAGCTCCTGGAGGAGCCACGGCTCGAAGGACACCAAGGTTCATCCTGCAGCACGCCGGGTGGGAGGCGAGCATCTAAAATCCTTTGGGAACCAGTCAGCACTGCACGTCCTTGGGGCCTGAAAAGAAAAACCCATCATGCTGTCCAAAGCCAAGATTTTAAGAACAAAAATGAACCTTTTAATTGCATTTTTTCACTTAGGAATGTGAAAGAATCACTATGAACCTTGGAAGTTTGATATGTACCAGACCAGTAAATAGATTTGGCTTTGTTTTTTTAATGTTTTGCATACTTTGTTTTTTAAACTTTCACCAGTTCTGCTTTGTTTCAGTTAATGAAATTCTTCTATTGCAGCGCTGGGACTTTTAAAGCATTTTCGTAACCTCCTGTCGCGGTCTCCAAGGTATAAACATTATTTTATAATTAGCCTTCACAACTATGTTATACATTTGAAAAGGAGTAAAAAAAAATGTTTTACCCCCATTTTTATATAGGGGAATTACAGTTTCTGTCTGGGGACTGAAAGAATGTGYGTGTGTGCGCGCGCAGAGGAGAGAGAGAGATTCAATCTGTCGAAATTTCATCTCCTGCCAGTTACACATGAAATCATCGTTTAGGAGAGCGAGTGGGAAATTACTGAGCACACTGGAAAAAGCCTCACTCGATCCTTAATGAAAATGCTTGAAAATACAGTGGGAGAAGAAAAACTTCAGGACATTCACGTTCTACCGAAAAAAAAAAAAAAAAAAGACCCAAAACACGGGAAAGCAACATTGACTTTTCCCCCGCTGTTATATAACTTGGCATCTGAGTAGCGCTTGCTGATACTGATGGGAACTAATTTGCCTCTTGGACCTCTTCCTGCCAATCCCCTGCAGTGTTTTCTTACGGAGACTTCCTATCGGGATCGCCTGTCGCCACGGTAACCACATGTGCACGTGCACCCTCGTGTCCACACACTGTGCAATTAAGTCCGAGTGTAAATAACAGCACTCGCAACTGCGTGCGGGGCTCGAGCGGTCCCCTCCAAGGATCCTCGCTTTAACTCCGGTGAAATTTGGATCCTGTCCCAAAGAAAGCTCCAACTTTTGCAGCAGGGAACAGCCCCGCAGAAAGGGAGCTGCTCGGGGCAACTTTGCAAGTGGGAGATTTCCATACTATAAAAACTTTTCTGCATTTTTTTGAAACAGAGAATAAACCCATAGGAAAGGGATGGCCTAATGGATTATAAATGGATTCTAACTGGAAACATGCCAAGTCTTTCCCAATAGAAGTATCCCCTTGAATCCTTCACTCAGGTGATCTATGGTGCATTAGCAAGGACTTTTATTTCCCTGTGGAGAAAGTTGTTCAGACACAGTCTCACCTGGAAGAAAGCTCTTACAGGTGAATGAAGTACCCTGCAGAAAGGGGAAAGGTGGGAATCAAGTGGTTAATTTCTGTCTTCAGCAATCTCAAGAAGAAAATACCTGTGAGCATGGGAAAACATTAGCCTAGCTCCTTTGAAAGCCTCCAGAAAGGTTTGTCTGAAGCGTGCACAGAAATGGGAAGGATACAGGTGTTTTCAGAGCCGTAGGAGCCCACAAGCAGGCCTGGGGCAAAGCGCAGTGTAACGAGGAACATCCCTGCYGGCTTCACAGGCAAATGCAAATGTYCTCGTTTCCTCCTTTGAGCAGGACTTTAGATAAGATGCTCCCGGAGCAAAGCAGCCTGCTTGGCGTTTTTGGTGCCTGCAAGGATGGAGGGATGGGAGAGGCTGGTGCGGAGCCACTTGCAGCTTCCAAAAGATGTGGTAGGGCCAGCTTGGAGACGCTCCTCTGCCCGTGTTCCTTCCTGGCCAGCAGTGTCCCCACAGGGAGCCACATTCCCGGGGAGCCTCCAAGGTCCTTGTGCCTCCTCTCCCCTTCCCTGCTTTCAAGGAACTGCTCTGAATATGTTTTCGTTTTGCAAGGCAGCAGTCTGCTAAAAACATTTCTCTCTGGCTTTTTTTTCTGTGAGTTTGTTTTCCTTGCTAGTTCAGCCTTTAGTAGAAACGACTCTCCTTTTTTTTTTTTTTTTTTTCTTTTCCGTATCGATTAAGAATAATATTTTTTCAAGTTTAGTCAGAATCCAAGAGCATATACTTCAGTGTAGGTGCTAAAATGGGCACAAGTTCTTTTCAAAAGTCCAGTGCTGGTTGCAACCACAGCTCTGCAGCTCAGCAGCAAATCCTTAAGGAAGGCTTCTGCAGCAAGCGGTATGAGCTGGGAGGTGGGAATCCCAGGCTAAAAGAACTTTCAAGTTTTTGATTTTTTTTTCCAGAAAATTAATGGGGTATTCTCCCTTCACCTCTCTCATTGACTAATTTTAATCACTGCTAGAAATTTGCCCTTGTCATCCTTTGCTAGGTTTGGGCTTCTTTCTGTCATTATTCAGGTCTAAGCCGTAGCTGTGGATATCAAAGTGGTCGATAACTTTCTTAAAAGTTCCAGCTTCAGGTGTCAGGCGAGTACCTGCATTTGTGGCAAAGCAGAAATTATGTTGCTGGGGGAAGAACTCTGGTTAGTCCTTGTGCAACCTTAAGTAAAGTAGAAAGGACTTCTGATTTATTTATTTATTATGTATTTTTGAGCAAAGCTTATCAGATTTGAGAACCAGATTGATGGTGGCTGAAGATTTGAGCTTAAGAGCACTGCATTAATTGTGGTATGATTTTTATCTAATAGCGCAGGGAAAGGACAAGACTTGGATTCTRCTTAACTGCATATTAATGTCCTATAGCAAGTAAAAGGCTCCTGTGCTATTTAGGCTTGCTCACTTTTGTTTAGAGACCAGGTTTTCTATTTTTAAAAGTTTGKTTTTTTCATATTACTTGCAAAAATAAACTGACCAGCAATCTACCAACACACCAGTAATATATGTAATTTATGATAGACTTTTGAARGAACTAAAATAAAATGGTAAACTAAGTATAAATGTTCCCTTATACAAAATAAATCTTTTCACTGAAAGTTTCCAGCTGCTTCTGAAATACAGAAAAATCAAAATGATCATCACTACTTGCAAGCCTATTGCTGAACTAAACTGCACGTTTCTGAATTTCCACTGCTTTAATTAAGAGCAATATTTGGCCTACCTAAAGCAATGATAAGTGCTTCTTCATTAGGTGCTTTCAGGGTAATTTCTTAAGGGGAAAAGATAGATGCTTCTAAATCTGTCGTGTGGTGAATTGCTCTGTGTAATCTGCGAGAGCCATTGATTAGTGCAATACGGCAAAAAGCAAAGCCTGATTGATTATCCATTGAAGTCGATGGATGTCTTTGATTAAGTCCAAAAAGAGCAATATAAAATCACTATAATTCCAGGCAAGACAGACATGTTCTCCTAGTGTGCATCCATGAGRCTTCCTGGAGAGGGATAAGTCCATCTCATGGAGGTTTTGACATTTCCCTTTTGTCCTGCTGAACAGAAACCAGAGACGCTACAGGAGCAGGCACAGAGTRGAGCTGTACCAAGACCGCCCTTCACAAGTGCCAAATCCAGCAACACGGGAGAGAAGGACCTTCCCAGGTAAGGGCTTCGATTCTCCAGCCATCAGATGCATCTGCATCCTACTGTCTTGGTTTCCCTGTGAAAGTTAGATGGAGCTTAAAGCCCCGCAGAAACGTATCTACAGGAGATGTTCTGGCTTTGGTGAAAGAGCCTGTTTTGATATCAGCACAGAACTTTTTGCACTGACAAAGTCATGACCGGCTCTTCCTTGAACCCTCCTGAGCACTGCGGTCTTCAGCGAGGCTGTGTGTGGTCCCAGCGGGCGCTAGCACATCCCAACGCAGGGCGGGATGTGACCGGTGAGAGCGGTTGCCTCTCTACAGGGAGTGCTGACGAGGGCCATCATTTTTACATAATTAGTTTATTCAACAGAACTCCCCAAATATTTAACCTGGCTTTTTGCTGTCACATTTTTTGGGCTCAAACCGCTTGGTTTTACATGAGCGGTTATACTAACATCTTTATCCCTCCCACCAGTGGGTAGATATAGTGCTTTTTCCTTAGGTGTCAACAGAGATGGCTTTTCAAAGACACTTGCCAATAAATGCTTACAGATATATACCAAAGAGTAAGATGAATTAGGTGTCTGACTTCTTGTGCTGTTCGTTTAGGATTAAGTGCTTCCCAAGTTGTTTTGATATGTCCTGCTGCATCCTTGACTATCGAAAGACCCCTGTAAACCGGCTCCACAAGCTTTTGATGTGGCCTCTCTGTTTTTCTCTCTAGTACAAAATGTTCCTTTTTACTAACACAATAGTATGTGCTAACTATCTGTCTGGATATTGTATGATGAGGAGGGGAGGGGAATGGCCAGTGACAATGATTTCTCTCGCTGATTGTTTTCTTTTTTTTCTTTTTCCCACATTATTTAAATCAAAATATCTAAACCTCAGACCTGAAACCAACTTCACAGTCTTACTTTGTATGTAAAAATATTCCATTTAAATCAGCAGTAAAGCTAACATGAAAGTGCCAATAAATAATATATGCAAAGAGTTTTTTTTATCAATATATAAAGAAATGTGGAGTTGTGAAGCTGCTGAAAACAAGCATTAGGAAATGTAATGAAGCAAGAATTAGAACAGCATAGTTCCTCTGGCCATTATAAATGAGAACGCCAGGTACCTGGAGAACAGGAAAACTGATGAGTACAGTCTGTTCAGGAGAGAAGGAGGAAAATTTCCCCCAGGAACACATTTCAAATTACTTATTTATGAACTGATGAACTGGGAGACCACCTATAGAGAGACAGGAGCAAGCAGTCTGCTGCAGACAGCTACAGAACTCCAGCTAATTGTGCTGCTGTTTTCTGTTATAACTCCTGCTCTCCAGCTGGGCTTCGGAGGCAGGAAATTTAGGCACTGACTAGAAGTTGCACTTTCCCTCCTTCTTGTCGGCATAAATATATACATGTATATTTTAATCTGCTGGAATAATTCAGCAAAGGCCTGGGAAAACAGCTGCTGCCTTTGTCTTGACAGCATTAGGGAGGAGGGTTTCCGAGGGAAGAGCACCTAAGCATAACGCCCATCTCTTGGCAAAGGTCACTCCAAAATTGGGAGCTACGCAGCCTGGAACTGGAAACATGAAGCCTACCTTTTAGTTTCTTCACTGTGCTTCACTATTAGGTTATTAAATACATGTAAACAGACTTAGAAATATGCCTTTATATATTACCAGTCAATAGAACCAGTATTAGCTATGTGAATGCATGTGGGTATGCATACATATGTGCTTCATATAAATTCGTAAATCTGTAGCCCTCAGGCAGATGTTCTTTTCTGTTTTCTATCCTCATACATACACACATAAGGATCAAAATGTTATTTCCCTTACACTAGTATAAATGTGGAACAACCCATTTGCTCAGTGTATAGGCGAGCAGGATGTTGCCCGAGTTAGAAGAAATGTCTAAGCATATCAAAAGAGAAGATAGCTTTAGGTACTCGTTAATATAGTAGAACAAGATAGGGAAGTGATAGTTCATTTACTGTAAATATCCAGTGGTTGGGAATTAAAATA